GGCGGGCAGGCGGCGACCGGCGGCCTCGGGCCGCGAAGACCGCTTGAAGCAGACCGGCGGCTTGGGACAGCAACGCGGGCCCGCTTACTGGCGAGCCCAAGTTCTTACGCGTGCGCGCGGACCTTGCCGACCTCGGCCACGCCCCGACGCACTGACGTAGGCCGTGGGGCGGGCCCTTCGTAGCGTCTTCACGACCGGCGTGGAGGCGGGGCCTATGCTTGGGAGCGCGCGGGGCTCGCGTAGGTCGGTGGGCCAGGCCCAAGGAAAGAAGGTGGAGAGTGGAAGGCGTGGCCTCCTGGGCGGAAGTGCCTGTTGACTTGGGGGTGGAGCTTGGGACGGGACGTAAGCGGGAGGTTGGACCTGCTGGGATCTGCGGGTTGTAGAGGCGGAGTTACTTGGGCCCTCTGGCGGTTGAATCTTAGCAAGTCCGGGAGCTAACCCACCTGCTACAATTTTAGCCTTCACTCTCTGAGTCATTCGTCAAATATTTTATGGAGCGTCTACTAAGTGGAGAACGTCATCACAGGCTTAGTGCCAAAACACACACCCCTCATCCCAGGAAAGCGACTCAAAACTAGACGTATGCAGTATTAAAGGTGTTGGGACTATGAACTTCAGTTTAGGTAGAGTCAAGATACAAAGATTCTCAGAGCAGAAGATGAGTTTTCCAGGCAATGGAGGCGGAACGTTGTTTTGGTGTCATGGTTATGCAGTGGAAAGAAGGCTTCAGAGTTAACTGTTAAATATCAGTTCTATCTCTGTTAGCTTTGCTAGTAATATGTGTGATAAATAGTAGCCAATGCTGCGGACAGTGAGGAAGGACAAGAGGTGAAACTGAAAGATGAGTGCAAGATATCAGAAATGTAATTACACATGCAAAACCTGAGTAAAGAGACATTGAAATGTTAATGAAACACCTTACTTGTCAGAATGACAAAAAATACAGTATTTTCACAAGTCACTTGCTGTCCAGGCATTCTCAGAAATCACTGTTGGTACAATTTATAATAGGTAAGCTATGGACACAACCCAGATGCCAAAAAGTAGATGCCTAGATTAAGGAGATGTGGAATATTTACACAGTGGACTATTACTCAGCAATCAAAAAGGATAAACTCATGTCCTTCACAGCAACATGGATGGAGCTGGAAGGGATTATGCTCAGTGAAATAGAAAGAAAAAGAAAAATATCAAATGGTCTCACTTACAGGAGGAATGTAGAGAAAACAAAAAAAAATCAGTAAAAAGTATAATAATGTAAAAATCAAAATCATTAGACAACTATAGCTCTGAGACATCCTGTCGGGGAAGAGGAGGAAGAAAGACCAGGACGTATAAGAAGAGCACAAGGGACTATGGTGATTGTGCACCCGTGAACTGGTGGGAATTTCAAGGGGAGACTATACATTGTACAAAAATGAAGGATAAGATAATGAATACATTTTTAAAATTAAAATTTTATATATAAAAAAAGAAATCACTGCTGGCACATAGAATGGTACAATCCTATGGAAAGGAATCTGACAATACCTGCCCAGATATCAAATGCATATACTTTTTAACCCAGATATCCTATTTATGGAAATATACCCTGATGGCAAAGCTGCACAAATATAAAGTGCTATGAGTACAAAGTTAATATTTGCCGGAGTTTGTAGTAATGATTATTGGACATAATTCGAATGCCCATTTATAGGCTTAAAATGATGCTAAATGCACACCAAGTAATCTGTTCAGCTTATTAAGAACCTAAATGTGTTAGTTTTCTAGGGCTGCCATGATAAAAATACTATAAACTGGATAGCATAGAGCAACAGAAATTTACTGTGCAGCAGTTCTGTATTCTCAAGGTGTCAGCTATGCCACACTCCCCCGAAGGAGCTAGGGGAGGATCTTTCCTTGCCTCTATAAGCTTCTTGTTCCCAGATGTTCCTGGCTTGTGCAGTGTGTCTCTAGTCTTCATGTGGTGTTCTCTGCCAACTCTTTGTGCTATCTTCCACCTGTGCATACCTGTGTCCACATTTCCCCTCTTATAAGGCCACCAGTCATTTTGACCTAGAGCCTACTCTGATGACCTCATTTTTTTTTTTAAAGATTTTATTTTATTTGTTCATACAGAACTGGGATACAGGCCATAGGCTCAGGGGTGATGAGAGGCTTCACCAGAGACAGAGTGGGGAGCAGAACAGGCAGATCTACAAAGTACACTGCTGAGGGGAGCAGCGGGCGGGTCAGGAGAGGTCTGCCACGCCATGTGGTCACCTCCGGGGCAGGCGGGAATCAAACTCATGCAGAAGCGGCTTTAGTTTCTCAGTGTTGTGCTTTAACCCGCTGCGCCACCAGGGAGGGCCACTGATGACCTCATTTTTATTTGATCACCTTTGTAAAGACTACTTCCAAATAAGGTCACACTTTGAGGTACTGAGAATTAAGATTCTAAGATACCTTTTTGGGAGGATATAATTGCAGAAAAGCTTCTGCTCCCAGACAATGCAGAATAACAGTTCCTGAAACATATAGGAAAAAAGATAAAATATATGAAATATGATTCTCAAAACACTGAATATTAGGCAATGAAAGACAGAGTTGGAGGACAGGTGAACCCTATGAGTACCCCAGTTGAGTGCAGAACAGTTGGCAGTCTGTGATACACAAAGGAGAATCAGCAGAGACGAGGGGTCACCTTGAGTTGAATAAATGGATCGAGTAATCTGAAGAGAAAAACTAGGCAATCAGAAGTGAACCAGAGGTGATACAGGTGATAAAGTTAGTAAACAAGCCCACAGAGTTATAAGATTGAACAACAAAAATGAACAGAGTGTTAGTGAGTTGGATTTATGATCTCATGCAGTTTATGTGTAATTGGAGCTCCCAAAGAAGAAGATAGATGAGGAGGAATGAAAAAAAATATTTGAAGAGATAATGACTGAATAATTTCCAAATTTAATGAAAACTATAAACATGCAAATCAAAGAAGCTCCATCAAGCACAAGAAACATGGTCAAAGCCATAGGAAGTTATAGTATAATGAAAATTGCTTCACCCCAATGATTTTTTAAAATCTTAAAAGCATTCTGAGAGGTTAAACAGAGGAGCAAAGATAAAATTGATAGCTTGTGGGAAATGAAAAGAGGCAGAAAATATCATCACAACTTGGCTTATATACATTTTGGACCAAAAGTCTACTTTTCACCATCATACAATTGACACATTTTATCTATTTCACTCCCTCCTCTTAACCCCACCATCCCCACCCCGTCCCCTTTGGTAACTACCAATCTGTCTCTGTATCTAAGAGTTTTTGTTTTGTTCTGTTTGTTCATTTGCTTTGTTTATTTTCCAGTTATGAATGAAATCATACTGTATTTGTCTTTGTCTGATTTCCTGTTACAAATGGCAAGATTTCATCTTTTTTTATAGCTCAATATCATTCCATTGGGTATCCATGCCATATCTTCTTTATTCAGCCACCCATGGATGGACCATTTAGGTTCTTTTCACATCTTGGCTGTTGTAAATAATGATGGAGTGAACATAAGGGTGCATATATCTTTTTAAATTAGTGTTTTTGTTGTCTTTGACTAAATCTCTGCATGGAATAGCTAGGTCATACAGTATTTCTATTCTTAATTTTTGAGGGGTAGACATACTATTTTCCATAGTGTCCATATCAATGTGCACCCCCAAACAGTGAATTAAACTTCCCTTCTCCCCATCTTCACCGACATGTTGTTTCTTGCCTTTTTAATATTAGCTATTCTAACAGGTAGAACAATATCTTTGCAGTTTTCATTTAATTTGTCAGCTGAGATTTATACAGTGTAAATATCTTTAAGAAATTAAGGTAAAATAAGGACATTTGTGATATACAGACGTTGAAAGACTCCATCATAGAAGATCTACTAATAGAAATAATAAAAGAAGTCCTTTAAGCAAAAGGAAAGTGACCCAAGACAGAAATCTAGTTCTATACACACGAGCAATGGGAAGGGCAAAAACATGGGTGAATTAAAGACTTTTTTCTTTTATTTAAACCTCTCTAAAAGATTCTACTGTTAAAGCAAAAATGCACTGTGGGTTGTATAAAATATAGTGATAAAATGACAACAAAAGTAGAAAGATGAGGAGATGAAAAATGGGTACTAATGTTATATGGTTCTTACATGTAGAGAGGTGTAATATCACTATGCTCCACTATGATAAATTGAAGATATATACTTTAAAAACTAAAGTAACCACTGAAATAACACAATGAAGAGTTACAGCTAAAAACTCAAGAGAAGAGATAGAATGAAATAATAAAGGAATATTCAATAAAAAACAAAGCCAAAAAAATGATGGAGAGAACATATGAAACAAATAGAAAACAAGCAGATGGTGGATTTATACGAACTCTTACAGTCAATGTAAACTGTCAGTATGTCCAGTTTAAATGCAAACATTTTTCAGGGTGGCTAAAAATATGCTACATACATGAAACTGTACATCATCAGGTGAACAACATTATTCTTCAAAACTCCACCCTGTAACTCACCCTTTAACCTATAGCTTGACCTCTACCCAAATCCCCCCAAATGTTCAAGTCTGGCCAGTTAAGTCAGATAATGTGAGGCTTTTTGCTACAATACCAAGACAAACCTGTTCTGCCTGAGCACTTTCACTTTAGAAAGAAAATCTAGCTACGCAGGTCCATGAGTCATCCTCGGATCAGGAGGATCTGACCACCAGCCCAAATACAGACAGAGCCACTACAACTAGCCTTCTAACAACTTTTAATTCTCGGTTCCCAACAGTATCCTGCCAAGCTCTTTTGTTCTCTCCACTTTCCAAAATATGATAAAAGCTCATTCTCCAGTTTTTAGGGAGCTAGATCTGCTGTGCTTATTCTAAAATTAAGTTAGAAATGCAAAAGTCCTGAATAGCTTAAATAACTTTAAAAGAGACCATAGTTCGTGAATTAATACTATCTAATTTCAAGAGTTATGGTAAAGGTACTGTAAATCACAATGTGTGGTATTAGTGTCAAGACAGAAAACAGATCAATAGGATAAAATATAGGATTCATAAATAGACCCATATAGAATTGTAAATGATTTTAATAAAGAAACAAAAGTAATTCATGGGGAAAAGGATAGATTATTTTCATTAATGGTGCTGGAATAATTGAATTTCTAGGTAAAATGATATGGTTATTTGAACCATAGCCCACAAAATTATCAAAACAACTAAAAATACACCAGAGAACTAAACCTCCCAAACTATCACACTTTTAGCAGAAAATATATTTTAAAACACTTCTAATGTTAGTGTAGGCAAAAAATTCTTAGTAAAAAAGAGGCAAAGCAGTGATCCATTAAAGACACTTTATAACTTGTTTTCATCATAATTAAGAACTTCTACTCTGAAAGAAACAAGAGAATAAGAAAACAAGTCACATTCTGGGAGAAATATTAGTAAATCACATATTGATATAATGC